AAAAAAAAAAAAAAAAAAAGAGAAGGATTACTTCAAAATTATTTTTGAAACTGTACCAATAGCGCGGGAAAAAGATATTTTATATATCACAAGTTTTTACAGATGAAAACAAAGACTTTTTTCTAAGACAAAACAAACTGGTTTATATCCTTCTTCCTGCATTGTCATTTGATTCGTCTTTACTTTCCTTTATCATATTGCATCTTCAAGTCTTATATCGTAGTTTTTGATAGAATGTTTTCCTGCGCGCCAGTCGCTGGCTCCATGTATGTACATATCTCGATAAGAAATTCATCAATGGTATCTTCCCTATTCATAGTAATCAACCTCTACTATAGATAGCTATATATTCAACATCATTTTGATAATACTGTGGACATCATTACCACAATTGACTCGTTTTTCCTGAGGGGTGATGAGCTAGTGGATAATGTACTTGTATCGGTATAGCATAAGGAGAATTTCGCTTTCTATGATTTTTCTCCCGGTTCTCCGTTTTTTTCTCGCTCTACAAAGAAAACTCTTCTGCTAAAGTGAGTTTCTTTGGTTATCTTCCGTGCTTCGAGGGTTTTCTCTTTCTTCAGAGATAACCACTTTCAGTACTGCGAGTTGCTTGTTCGTTGTCTCCCTTGCCACGAGGGCTTTACTATCAGCATGAGTTCCAATCTCGTATCCAGAGCCTGCGTTTCTTCTGGCCTGTTGCGAAGAACGAGGGCTCTGGCATAATCCATTTTTAGAGACCAGGATTTCTTGGACTTCCGGATAAGATTGCATGTGTTCAAAGACTTGCCAAAAAAAAAATATATATATATATATATGTGTGTTCCCGATTTCTAATTTTTATTTTGACTGGCGGTAAAGACAGAAATTTTAAATCATGGTTGCCATTGATTATATTTCACTTCCGGAAAATTGCGCATGCGCCAAAGATGGATTATGCCAGAGCCCTCGTTCTACGCCACAGGCCAGAAGAAACGCAGGCTCTGGGTACGAGATTGCATGAGTTCGGTCTCCGCATTCGGCCTTCCAACATAAAAATCAACATTTAAAAATTAAATTATGTAACATAGTGGTAATGTTTGTTCAAGTGATAGCGTCCCCAATCAATACCAGAACGATCTACAGAACAAACGAATTAATTTATTAATATTAATATTAAGGGTCATAAGATTGCCATTAGAATATATCGTGCGCAAACGGAGTATGTAACACACTTTCTAGAACTTAAAGTAGGCAGATAGTGTGTAATATGCATTAAGTAAACCAGCGTCATCGACCCTAGATCGTTAACGTGCTCTTGCGTCAATACTGTACCGCGATTTTTGTATCGTATTTTTCATGGTTTTCATATTAAACACGCGACGGGTGTACTATACATTTTAAAATGTGTTATCGATCTTCACTTGCGTGGGGAGGGGAAGAGACAATCTGGTTACTTTAGTGCTCTTAACGTGACTATACGCACGCGGAAAAAAAAAAAAAAAAATGCATAAAAGTATTTAATGTTACACGCCACTATTCGAAACTAGATTTTTCGCGATACGCCCGTTGCGCAAAAAGGTGATGCCATTTAACACATGTCACTTGTAACGATTTGCAACACGTTGCGTGTTTTTGATTTAGCCTAAACAATTAGCGACGCGTATCACGAAAAGTCGTGTACTTAACATTACCTTCAAGCAAAGATACTGACTTTGAAGTACAAACTCCAGAAAAAAGTGATCGATTAATAAATTAAGGACGATAATTCATGTGATTTTGGGGGGGGGGGGGTGAGTACGGTTTCGTTGTATTTTACGATGCATCTTTTAATATTCTTGTTGTGTGTATTTTCATTTATGAAATGCTTTTCAGAGTTTGAAGTAACAGGATTTGGAAGAGGGGAAATTTGTGGCCATAAATTTGTAGCCATGTCATGAGACTTTTCTGATTAGAGAATTTGTTTGAGGGAGGGGAGGGAAGGGAAATTTTGTCATCTTATTTAGAACTGATCAGAAGCGTTGTCAAGCAATCGAGACAACACAAGCGACGATAAATATCGCTCTAAATTACTTTATTGTCGTTGGACAAGCATATCAATATCAAGTCTATGAAGTATATATGCAGATGGTTGTGATTTGATCTGACGAGTAGAGTTAAGTCACGAAACCCGTGAATAGATGTTAGACTAATACACTTTAGTAGACCCTTATTCCATTGTTTTCTTTCGTGTCTTTTTCACTATTACACGTTGACTAGTATTTTTTATTTCACGGGTTATATGCATTCACTCTATATTAGCATTGATCATATGGTGATAGTGATTATGAAATATTGTTGATTTCAAATGGACTTAAAAAACATCCAGATTTCTAGCTTTTTTTGATCTTAATGTGTTATTTTGGTTGGTAAATAAACCCAATTCGGTGTTCGAAAAAAATTCATATGTAAAGCAATATAATTGTTATGCATGTTCGTGGATAAGTCAGTGCCGCCGGTGTTTTCCAATCATAATGTTATTATCAAGAACAGGCTTTTATTAAGTGGGAAACGTGCGGCTCTGACGTACGACACGTAGACAGGTACGAAATGTTGTGACATTGAAATGGCTTTTTTTCAATGTTTTTTTGGTGCGCTTCTTCCAATCCACCATGCGTAGATACGGCTACAGTACGACTGCGTTTTCATTCACCTGACAAGGCATCCATATTGGTTCATCAAACTTTCAGCACTATTTTTGCATAAAAATAGAATTCAATGCCCGGAGGATAGTGAATGTATTGTTTTGGTACACCAACATGGCCGCTGTGACGTCACACGAAAACGTTCTATTGTTACCCATTCATACGATGACTTGCGTGCGCATTCTTGTGAGAAACCATTTTAGTGTTACGGCTTAGCATGTATACGTGCTGAGAGTTAGTTGTAAATACTCTTAAAAACTCTTACACTAAGTTAAGTTAATGAAGACTTAATGATTTGATAACCGTATGACGATCAGATGACCGTTGTTTTGATACATTAGTCATTCTTATGGCGGAAAGCCGTTTCAGTGTCGTGGCATACACACGTACCATCTCCATTCTGAGAGTTAGCTGTCATGAACACTCGTGAAAAAATCTCTTACACTCTGTTTACTATAATGATACTTGAGATTTGATTACTGTGTAGTGACGATTAGACGATCGTTGTACCGCGATAGATTAACCATTCTTATTGAAACCCATTTCAGTGTTACGTATGCCCACGTACCATCCCCATTCTGCCGAAGTTTGTTGTCATAAACTAACGTACAAAAAGCCCTCGACTCTATCAATGAAGACTTAAGGATTTGATTAAGGTATGAAGATCAGACGACCGTTTTACCGCGATGCGTTACGATATGCCCACATACCAACTCCGTGCTAAGAGTCAGTCGTTAACACTCTTAAAAACTATTTTTTCAGTTTTTAATTTATGTTTTGCATGACGATCAGACGGCCGTTGTACCAATGCCATAGAAAGGTATTTTAGTGCTACGGCATGTCCCAGTCTGTCGTACCGTGTAGGAACTGGGTGTTTGTAACTACCCAGTTAAAATGGACCTCAAATAGTACGCCTTGCTACTATAGTGAAGTCACCTTGACTAATAAATATATAATTAATACACTTTAGTCTATTTGATTATTATACGTTGTTTCAAGTTCAGTTATTTCGCGGGTTAAATGCCTTCACTAATCTGTTAGTTTGTTTTCTTGTTTGTTGGTTTCGTTGCTTCTTTGCATACAGGGTAGCATAGGTGGCGCCTCGTCTTTCACCGCTGTGAGTCGGGTCGCTGATTTGAGCCCTGCGGTCGCCACATGTGAATTGAGTTTGTTTGATGTGTTGTTCTCTCCTGTGCCACGAGGGTTTTCTCCAGGTTCTCCGGTTTCATCCCTTAGTAAAAATCAACATGTGAGCTGAGCGTCGTGTGCATAAAATATTAAATGTAGTGGTAGTGCGTGTGAGCGAAAAGTGTCCCCAATTAGTGCGAAAGCGCTAGAACGACTACACACTTAAATGAAAGTGATTTTTTATTTCTATTTTTACGGATTTGTTTGTTTGCTTGACTTACTGGTTCATATTCATTCTGCTGTTTATTTGTTCCTCTGTTCATGCTTCTATTTTATCTACAGAAAATTATTTAATTTATTTTTCACTTACCAAAAATGCCCCCAAAAAAATATAGGGGCGAGCACTCGCGTTTTGGCGCGAAAATTCAAGCCAAAGCCACAGGTAGCCCAACAATATTGGAAAAAAGCAACATTTTAGTCAAACGTTTGTGGGGGATTGTGGGGTGGTTCCCCCACGCTAAGCTCCTGCCAAGACAGAGGCACCATAATCACTATTTTCGCCCATCTCTAAAATTACCTGTTCGTTTTTATTTGACAATTATTAAGATGGCCATTGACTAGCCCATAAATCATGCCATCAAAAATGTTCTCGGCTTGTCCACGCCACAGCAGGTGATTCATAACCACCCCACTCAGTCACCTTGGTAACGGTCTATTTTGTCTTCCACTCGGCCAAGAATGTGTAATTTGGCTTCATGATTCTCAAAGCCTAAAGAACCATTACTCTTGTCTAGTCACAAGCAGTCAGTACAACGGCGGGTATTTGAGAGTGAAAAGTAAAAAGGCATTGGTAA